GAGAGGGAACGGGAGGCGAGGGAGCGCGAGAGGGAGAGGGAGGCGGCGCGCCGAGGGGAGGCGATGGCGGCGCGGGAGCGCGAGCGCGAGCGGGAGAGGGAGGCGAGGGAGCGGGAGCGTGAGAGAGACCGGGAGCGGGAACGAGAGCGGGAGAAGGAGAGAGAAGCGCGGGAGCGCGAGGCGGCGGCCCGCGAGGCCGCGAGAGAGGCGCGCGAGGCAGCCGAGAGGGAGGAGAACAGCAACGAGTCGCTCGCCGACGCCGCGCCGCAGACCGACTACCCGGAGTACCTCAGGTGAGCCAGCCCTCTTTTCTCACTGCTGTTATTCAGTTATGTAAGGATAAGCATCAGTGCAAGTGTATTTTGCTTGGGGACCAGGGAGAGGCCTGAGAAGAGGGGGTGCAACCGGTGCACCGGAACCTGACGCGTTAATTTTTTAAAAATCTTTTTGTAGGAAAAAATACTACAAATCGGTGTGAAGGAGTTTTTTACTTTTGATACTTTTCTTATTGGTCTGTCATATTGAAAAAATAGAAAAGTTTTTTGGACCATTACACTCGTATAACTCGTAAGTTAATCACTTTTCTATGAAAACTGCTTTTCAGGATGAAAATCATATCATTTTACCATATAATATTTTGGGCATTAGTTTTGACCCCAAATTCAGATTTTCAGAAAAAAAAATTTTTTAAACATAATTTTTATCATGCTTTTGTTACCTGTTTTGATGATGATGATTTCAACTCTAATCATATTTAAATTTATTTTATTGTTTTTAAATCAAAATATACAATTTTGCAATTTTTGTGGAAAAAATTAATTTGTGGACACCTTTAGAAATAATGCCTAAAGTTACATAAAGAGCATATTGAATCGTATATGATTCAATACTTTTTTTACAATTTAATCTTCTTCCCTATTGACAACCATGCTCGGCATAAGTATCTCTTTATCAGTATTAAAAATGACTCCAGTTTTCAGCTGGTTTAATTTTGTGAGAGATACCAAGCATATGACAAATAGTGTATAATACGTGCAAAGTGTGAACCGCCACCAATAGTTTGTCTATTAGTGCAATCACATGCGTATCGTAAGGGTCCAGGTATTTCTATTATATGAGGTTTTATAGTCGGTGAAACATTAATATATCTTGCTTTTCTTTTCTTTTTTTAAAAAATTATTATCAGGATTATACTTCAAATTTTAAAATACTTTAAAATAATACAACAATTTTTATTTTATTTTATTTTATTTTATTTTTTTTTTCTTCACACCACACTTCTGGAAAATTAAAAAGATGGATATGATGCCATGTTTTTTTAATGGTACTGTTCTGCGTCCTAATTTATGTATTCAATTTCTGCTGAAAAAGTACTTTCAATATCTATTCTGACATTCATCTAGTTGAAAATTTAATCTTGCATGCCCTGATCGGAATTAAAATACGTACCAAAAGTGTTATTAACAAACAATGCAATTTTATAGAATAATCCTTTTAGTAGTTTGGTTTGAAAGTTTATTATTGAGTTCATTATGTAACAGCCTCATTTTTTATTACCCAATACACCATGAACTGCTTCTACTAGTGAGCAAATTTTAGTTACAAAGCCAGATTCATTCGATTCTTTTGTTGTCGACTGCACTATGTAACTGTATTCTTCCAGTTCACTTTAACATTTCTGTGATGTCTGTTTAAAACCTAAAAGCTCAGTGTTTCAACAAAGAATTTAAGCAATCTTCTTTTGATATAATCTCTTTCACAATGCTGGCATCCTTTTCATTTGCATAATATCTACCAGCAACATAACCATTTCAAATAATTTTTAATTTTTTCACGTCAAAACAGCTCATAAAAACTTGATGAAAGTAATTGTTTGTAAAATAATTTAAACTTTGTGCCAAGAATAATTTGCAATATTTTTGTATAGTGAAATGATATGATTTTCTTCCTGAAAAGAATTTTTCCGTGGAGAAGTGATTAACTTACTAGGAATTATATGCATATAAATGACGTAAAAAAAATTTTTTTTTTTTTTTAAGATAAGAATCTGAAAGATCAATAAGAGAAACCTGGGAAAAAAAACACCTTAACACAGATTTGTAGAAATGTTTTGGGGTTGTCACCCCAGAAATAAAATAGAAAAATATGAAATAATTTAATAATTCTTTATAAAATTGAATTTTTTCAAAAATTGTTTTGAAAAAGCTTTCCAAGATACGTACAGATGTTAAGTACGTTTCATAATTTTTTTAAAATTTTATTTCTTGAGTAATGATATGGGAAGGGAGAAAAACAAAAAAACAAGGACCCACATACTCTTCATTGTACCAAGGATTTACATTGTCGATTTTACGGTTGTGGTGAGGGTACCAAGGATTTACATCGTGATTTACGGTTGTGGTGAGGGAAGAAAATATGCTCTTCCAATTTTATCCTATATACATCACCTGGGGTCCCATTTACTAATTTTGAAGTGATGTGTCCAAGAAAGTGTTTTCCAGAATTAAATTTATATTATGTTGAGGCTAGCTGCATCAAGTGCTGAATGTATTGTGTTGTGTAGTACTTCATTCCACTTCTGAGAGATGGCTTTACTTTATCCATTAATTAAAATGTAATAATTCTACTAAATGGAGAGTAAAAATATTCATTTAATATTTATTGCATGCTGATGATTCTATGGTATACACCATAGATCTGAATAGAGTAACTTATTGAAAATATCTTTAAATTAAAACACATTCAAATTCAAAGTCAAAAGTAGCGTGTATTCATAATCAGGAGTTAACTTGCACAATATTCTTTAAATGAAAATTGTAACAAAGCAGCTAATTAAATTTGAAATCTTCAGTAAAAATATCTATGTACATGTCTTCTTCACATTTGAAATCAACCTAAGTTCTTAATTGAAGTCCAATCCCATACAGAGGATTCACTGTTTCCAAGTGTAATAAATCCAGTAGCTGAAGGTATGATGACTCTCCCAAATATTTTAAGTCCATTCAATTTCTTACATTTTTGCCATCAATGAATGTTCTGCCAATACATTACATCTTCAACCGCAAATCCTTCATTCAATTATGAACTCTGCTTTATCCGTTCTATTTCATCTCTGCCCCAAAAGCCCTTGGCCCAACTTTGTGTCCTCAGTCAAGACCGTGAAATTCTTTTCTAGTTGTCTTCACCATTGCCAAACATGTGACTTCCTATTCTAGTAAGCCATGTGTATTCTTGTGTTTTGGTTTTAGAGTTTTCAGCTTTTCATGCTTCAGCAGTTATGATTAAAAAAATAAAATAAAAATAAAATAAATAAATAAATTTAAAAAAAAATACAAATATCACCCAATTACAACTCCAATATTGATTGTGGCATAAACTATTCCAGAACTGTTTGGGGGTGGGGGAGTGCTCATTGACTTATATACGATGCAATTAAGTACATTTCAGTGTTAAAGCATTAGGGTCAGCCCAGACATTTAATTTTAATTTGGTGAATTCTTGCATTTTGAGGAAAGAGCAAAAAGGGAAAAAGGAAAGTATTCTACATGTTTGTTACCCTTAAACACCCAATTGATTTAGAAAAGGCTTATTTTGATGAAGAATTTCTCTTGTTCAGAGTGGCATGGTAGGATAAAGAACCCAATATGCTCTATATTGGCAAATTATGTAGACCGAATATAAAGCACTGATAGGAAAAGAGGCCACGAGTGTGTTAGATGGGTAATCAGCTGAGCGACTGTACAGTGCCACCAACAACTGCACCATATGTCATGATTGATGAATCATTGCTGATAATCACTACAAAAGAGTTGTTTATATGGAATGAACAAAACGAGTAGTGCCACCTATTGATTCCATGACTTGAGTTTGTGGTCAATCCTGTTAAAGTTGCAATTCACTTCTGTGTGTGTGGTTGTCATTGGGGTGGTCATACACCTTGCGATTTTACCGCTTCAGCCCGTTTTCCCCATCACATTGCTACTAAAGTCGGGCAAAGGCAATAGAGATGACATGCCTTCATTCATTCAGTGGCTGCGATGTAATTTCAGAAAAGAAAACTATAATTTCCAAAGACATTGGGGGGAAAACCCTGCAGAAAGCAGCAAATTGAATACTACTGCAGAACAGGATGATGAGGGGAACAGAAGGGAATAGCAGCCCTCTATTCTGAAGATGAAGCAAAGATACATATGAGATATTTGGAAAATTTTTGAGTGGCGTCATTCAACCTTGCCTCCTACTAGAGCAGCTGTTTGATATCATTCCCTTAAGACATATTTGCAGGTGCAAGTGTGGAAAAACAACCCACTGAACTCATAGCAATGGGGCTGGAAGACTAACTAATCAACCTCCTGCCTGTTCACACTACTACGGAAGAAGTACCTGAAGAACTTCCAATCATCATCATCATAATGCACTCATTTTAGAGGTTGTTCTTGGAGGAAAAAATTCCAAGAATAGTATTGTATGTAAATAATACAGACCAATCCTTCACCGATGCTCAAATTGAAATGCCAATTCTGGATACAGATGCCTGTGACTTCAGTTATGACATTGCGGAAGATAGCAGAGGTAATCTTGATTATTATTTCAAAATGAAAGAAATTGAAGATTTGGAGTTCATGTTATTGGGACCTTCAACCTCCAAACGTGTAAAAGGCAATTCTCTGTGTTATGCATGGGACATTCATAGATATTTATGCCAATGTAATTTTATTAGATTTGATGATAGCTGCTTCCCATAATTTTTTAATGCTTTACAATTCAAGAGTTAATCAAAATATGACAGAATCTAAGAAGTTGATTGTGTGATTTTTTAAAATATTTTTTTGGTCACAAAATCCATTTCCTGTTGATAAAGCTGTGTTATCCATCAAATTCTTGGCTATCCAGGAGATGCCGCGTTGTTGGCTGGGAGATCGACGTTTCGCCTGACATGTCGCAGGCTTCCTCAGGGCAGTAACATGTCGACCTCCCACCCAACAACGCGGCATCTCCTGAATAGTAAAGATTTTATGGACTCTAGCCATGGAAGCTTACATGTGCATGTTATCCATTAGCACTGGGATGTAACCACATATATTGTATACAAAAATAACCAGAAATGTCTTGTGACGCACGAGACTCAGAGAAATCACTATTTTTCATATTGGTTAAAATCATTTATTTTTTCTGTGAATTATAAAAGAATATTAACATTTTTGGAATAAAAATATTAAGTATATTCATAGTTTATGCTAATGCACTAAACAACTGAGATTATATTATCAAATTAAATGTGTTATTATTTGTTTTGTTTGTGATGCACGGGACATTTGGAAAGTGGTGCATCAGAATTATGTGATAGACAAAATAAATCTGCAGTTCCTCATTGCCAAGTAAAATATGCTAAGAAAAAAAAATCTTTAAATAGTGTCAAAAACCAGCTATGTACATTGCACATTTAATGGAAAGGATACAAGTGTTTTTCAAGAATTGTGCAAAATTGTTTTTGTTGCATTTCTGCCAGACCTTTCAGTCAAATTGCAAAGTATTGGTACTGAATTTGTGCAAAATTTAATAATCTAAATTTTTGGTAATAATTATACTTTTCAATGAAATACTTAGTTTCGGAAGAAACTACAAAATTGGAAAGAAACAGGAAAAAGTAATAACATTTTCAAATTTTTTATGGTAACTGCTGAAGCTCTTCTCAAAAATCAGAAGGAACTTGGATTGCTCATATCAGATGCCTACTTGGGTGTTGAAAACAGCTTCTGGCACTGATAATTTTAAGGAGGCAGAAGTCACTTGACCATTATAAATGAGCCAAAAAAATCTTTACTATTTGGCAAGGATAGCACTGCAAATTCACTTGACATCTAATTAAAGGAAGCAGAATATTTTATGATAAACATCTTCAAAGACCCCTTGAAAAAAAAGTAATAAAAATTAATGAACACGTGAACTAAAACAGGTGAAATTATTGTAATATATGATCATTAAAATCAACGAGCAGATTTGAATGTACAGTGCTATACCAAAGTCAATTTAGGTTTCAGTTTATTTTCAGTTCGCTCCACTAATCACTCATCTCACCCATCCTCTCTCCATTTCTGCACACTATAACCAATCGACTAACATTTACATATGTTTATTAAGAAAGAAGTAAGTGGTTGTAATTAGTTTAGTCTGCAGAAAGAGTATAAAATTGTCTCTGATTTATAATGATGCAGATAAAGATGTTGACCTTTCTCTTGCAGTCAAGTGACTGTCCTAAAATTAGCATTATTCATTATTTGAATAAGGAGATGATGACAAATTAAGTATTAACAATACAAGTCACTTTGCAGAAAAAGTGTTTTAGCCTTAACTGATCAGTTTATTTTGTGGCTATAAACAGTATTTAACCACTCTTTTCAATTGTTATGCCATTTAACTAATATATACCACTTTCTTAACACTCACTTAACTCACAAGATTAAGGGATAAGTCATTTTTCTAGTGTCCTGACAAAATTTTTACCATCCTACATGCATGAATAAACACATTTTTATGAAGTTATTCAAAAAATGTTTTCTTTAAATTGGATTCACATAACTAGAAAAATTGAAGTGTGATATTATTAGAAAGGAGCAACTGACAAAAATATATACTTAAATTCGGGACAGTTACCACAGTTTACTTTTATTTGCTGTTTTGTCTTCTTAGCCCTTTTTACGTACATGTAACGTGTTGGTAGTGAATTCTACTCGTTTTAATGTTAAGTTGTTATTGTGGGTTTTTGTTGTTGGTTTGGGCCACTTAAACTACTTATGAAATTTTAATACTATTTTATTTTGTTACAGCTCTTACACTACCATCTGTAATAGTGAGCAGCGCAGCAGGTATAAGGCTGACTTCAATGCAGATTATAATGAGTACCGGGACTTGCACCATGCTGTAGAGACTGTCTCAAAACACTTTGCTCAGTTGGAAGAGCGGCTTCGGCAGGAGGAAGTCAATAGCCCTGGATGGAGGGTAAGTGTTGATTCTTGTGTACATACTTTTGTACACATTTTCATTTTGGTGTTGTGCCTTTCAGAGCTGAATGGTAATAATGTAATGAAGCTACTTTCAATAGAATTTAAAATTGAAGTTATCGCTGAACTGTGCAGATTCCCCCAGATAAAGACCAGATAAATTCCTTGTCTGGTCATCAGAAAATAAAATTACCTTTCTTTTATTAATTATGCAATTCCTTGTAACTACACATTGATTAGAAGGTTTTCAAACTGGGCCAGATTAATGCATCAAATTATTGAATATTTAAGAACTCAACATTGAAACAACTCAAGCTTATGTTCACTTTAATTTAATGATAGAAATGTCATTCAGTGTGTATTAAAAATTAAGTTATATTAATGACGACTTAGAAACTAGGAGCTATGCAACATCATTCTACCTTCTGCTATGTAGTACTCATTTCTTTGTAAAAATGATTTACTATATTTTTATGTTAATTATTGTTTATAAACTTTTTATTCATTAGTTCATTTTGTGATTCTCCCATGCTCTTTCTGCACCTTCCTCTTTTCTGTAATACAACTTTAAACTTGATTTTGAATAATTATGCTTTCATTTTTCTAGTTATTTTTCTTCAGTTTAGCTAGTGATAGAGAAATGAATGCAAAATGTATGTCATGATTTCAGTCAATCAAACAACAAATAATGCGTGAATATCAAGAAAACAAGCGTGACCAGCAGCACCAGGAAGCAAAACGTCGCTTCCAGTATCTCCACGAAAAGCTATCACACATCAAGCGCCTTGTGTTGGAGTACGATTCAGCGCTGGTGAACCAGCAATACTGACACCACGCCCCAGACCCCCACTGCCCGTGCTGAGCGCACACCCCATCTGCCTGCCTACCATGGCAACACCTCTCCCACTCTAGTCCTTATGGGCTTGCGCTCGCTGCATTCACCCACAAGCACACAGCACCCCCTGAGTTCACCTATTGTATGTGAGGTTTCTCTTTCTTGATACCTTGCCTTAAGACGACATATCATCCTGAATTTCTGTGGAAGTCAACTCATGGTTCAGCGAGACAATGATTACAATAACAGCTGTGACTTGTGGCCATGGATAATGCAAGTTGCGGCCACAGCCAAGAAGAGCGGGTCATTGCAGGTGCAATATGGTGGGAAGGGAATGTGGGGTTGTTGCAAAGCCTTAAAAGGAGTGTTGTGGACACTTTAGCATGCAGCCTACGACTGTACAAGCAGTGTCTTCATGTGCAACATCTGTGGATTCACCTGCATCACATAATTTTGCCTTTGCCATAAGTACCCATTGGCTTTTCTTAATCATCTTGATGAAGAAATGATTGGGATTTCTTGCATGCCCAAATATTTGCTCTTACAAGAAAGGTTAGTTGACTTGTTGTCTTAAAAAGACCTTTCCTGGTTGAGATGTACTGAAAATGTGAGCAAACACTGTTGACAACATTTTCTGTGTCAACAATGTTGCCAACATTTAAGGCACCTCGTTTCAGCGGTCTTCCATTCATGTTTTCACTTCCAAATTCAGTGTTTGTACCATGTTAGATTTTTATGCAATCAAATGATTGGGCATTGTGTTTCTTGTTCACATATTGTTGAACTTCTTTACATTATAGAAAATTTAGCGATATTGCTTCTTAATATATATTTTTGCTCGAAAAAAAATCATCCAATGAATATAGTGCTTCCAGCCTACAAGTAGGTCTACTTGGTGTAGAAATAACAACGTATATTGCTACAGGAATCTTTGTGCGTTGCATTTTAGGTAAAATATAATTTTTAAGCAGAGTACTTGCTACTCCATTCCTGTCCTGCTCAAAGTGCATTGAATTCTAAAGATGTGGGTGCTGTGAATTCCAACCTTGCACCAGATCCCAGTGAAGATAGAGGCTGCGTGCGAGGTGCCACATTTTTTATAAAGACCAGTGTTATGATTAATGTGGCCACACAAAACTATCTACACAATCCTAGTACACCAGTAGCTTGTATATTTGTACAGTCTGTATGTTGTAAATTAATACAATGAACTGCTGTAAAGCCAAGACTCATAAAGATGGTCCTTTTTATTTATTATGCACATATCCATGTGTATCTTTGTGTGCACGATGGTGTGTGCTTGAAAGTGCGTGGTGCGTGTGATAAAGTGATCTTCGGACATAATATAGAGGTATATAATATATGTGTATATTTGACTGTGATGATAATTTTTTCTCTTCATCTCAATGGATGCTCATTCCTGCAGCGAAAGCTGCGTGCTACTTGAGGGTTAGCAAGAAATGCCAACCTAAGCAAACTAAAGATTCCTGCCATCGTTGCCAAAACCCTAGTAGTAGAGAGGAAATGGAAGAGGCGGGAGAAGAGGAGCTATGAGCAAATTAGCAGTGGGAGCGACAGAGGCGACTGTACCCTATGCCGGCGTGGACCTATGGCCTGCAAGACCCCTACCCCCCACCCCCTCCCATCCCGGCGACCGTGCTTATGATCCTGTATACGTAGTTATAGTGCCTGGCCTGAACCTTGTGATGACCGGACAGTCCCTGGTAATATCCTCAACTGTTGTATAGTGTTTTATAAAGAATACCATATTATTATGTAACGTGTTCTCTCTTTTTTCATTGTGTTCTGCTTTTTTGAAATTTTGCAAAGAGAAAGTCCAAAAAAAGATTATATATATATATAAATCGTCTTTAGTCCAGGGGTTGTGTAATTCCTACTTGTGCTCAGTCAATTAGAGGTTTCTACTCTGAGTTGGCACCAGATGGGACAAATAAATGTAAGCTGTGTGCGGTGTGCTTGCGTGAAGCTCTTCTTTCTTATGTATATCTTAGGGAGGTGATTTTTGCACAAATGCGCAACTCCCTTCTATCCGGTGAGGGTGAACAGGGCCGTGGTTGTGGTATATGCTCTAATATACATTGCACTGAGGATGTTATTTTGTGATACTGTTTAACAGATTCTCCACAATGTTAATGTTTGGAGGAGTCTGTAAAAATGATACTGTGATCTATAATTCTTCTGCTGATTTACTTGTTACATTTGCCCCAAGGGAAAATAAATGTTTTGTATGTTATTTTGCAGAACAGGTTGTGATTTCTTTTCATAGAAATATTTCCAGATAATCTATAATGGTTTTGGGAAACCAGTTGTTTACATTGGCCTACTCAGACCCAGCTGGTGGTCTATTTTAATAATGCTTTTGACTATTTAGCATATATTGCAATGTGAAAATAGAGTAGATAATTTTATTGCTTCCCTGTCACCAGTCGGATTTGAGTAGCACTACTCCCAAGATTGGTTCTTCACCCAGGCACACTGCATGCAGCACCGCAGAATGTGATAGCTTTGTTTTCCCAAGTGGCCGGTGTTTCTGTAGTATGTTGGTTTGCTGAATCGTGAGAAATGAACAGTGTCTGTTAAACAGGATTTCTTGATTTATGATTATAATATTAAATGTAAATGGATCTGTATATAAGCATATTTATACATACCTAATAAACAGTTGTAATGTCAATACAGCTAATAAAATAACAATGTAATTTTTTTTTTAAATATTTGTGAAATTAAGCCTGATGACTGAATCTGGCAGTAATGTTATTGTTATTAATTTGTTATTATCAATGTAAATTGGTTTCTTTTTTGTAGGGCATGGTGGTATCAGGTGTAGTCGTAATGCCTTTGTTATCATTTTATGACAGTGTGCTTTATGGTCTGTACTTGATTCCACTGCCTTTGCGAGTCTCAGGATTGTGCAAGGAAAACTTGTCTGCTAAAATAAGGAATACAGTATGTATCCTATTCTATTTCTGTGCCAACATGGACAATGAAACAATATCAAGTTTGAGGAACAGAAGAAATTTGTATTTTTACTGCAATGCTATTTTTACAATCAAGTACTGACTGAAATGTAAGCATGTTCTGTACTAGCCAGCCTGCACATGAGGACAGTTTAAGGATCTGTAAGGTCATAACTCTTCCCCCAAGAATGCCTTATAAATAACTATGCAAATTTGTAATTTCCAATTGTTACGTTAATAGATATATAAGTTAAGGAACTGTTATATTTGGCTGCAGTTATAAGCACGAGAGAAAATGTGCTGCAAGTTTTGAATTTTGTAAAAGACATTATGTATATGTGCATGTATATATTTTGCAAGTGCATTTGTGTCAATCTTGGCAAAATGTACTGTTAAGTGTTATGGGTTCAGGGTAATTTTGTATACAATGAATTTTTTTCCCCCCACTTCTTTCTGTGAAGTATTTGCAATTGCTTATTAAAATTTTGTAGCATAGCATACAGGATTATTGTTGTTTGTCGCTCCTGTGTAGGCTGGCTGTGTGTGTGCGTGCCACTTGGGAACGGCGATGAGCATCTCCATGATAGCTAATCGCCTGACTGAGGCCTGATGCAGGTTCTGTTGAAAGAGGTGTGTCTTGTGAACTCTTATAAACTTACATAAAACATTTAAAAAGATAATAAATCCTATTCTATGCATGCAGCAAACTGAAATTCTGCTGTTTGTTGTTTTTTATTACCTCCTTCTCCATAAAAAGTTCCACAATGTGGAGACGTCAAAGCATCAATTTTGTAAAAAAAAAAAAATATATCGCATTTTTGAAATATTTTCTTTATCTTGGAAGTTAATAAAATAAATGTCTAAAATTATTATGAATGTGTCAATTTACTAGTACTGTGCAATACAGGAAGGATCCATGTGTAATGCTTTGCTCCAACATTTGCAGAGTTATTAAAAAATAATGTTGGGTTCTTTTTGAGAATGCATTTAAGATTCCAACTTGTTCCAATTGATAAATTCTCGGCCGAGCCGAGAATTTATGGATTCGAGACGCGGAAGCTTATGTATCCATCTTGTTCTAATTGAAATATTTTTGGAAGATCACAGTAGTGTCAAGGGGTTGTATTGTTACAGTAATTTAAACAAGGGAATGGTAATACTTGGCATTTCAAACCACACTTTCTAGTTTTACATTCACAACACAAATAGCAAATGGAAATAACCTAAGCACATTGTTTTGAAGTATGTTTGGCAGCACAGGGAATGTTGTATAAGTATCGGAGATAATGAAGACCGAAGCAAAATCCTCCTGGTAAAATTTTAGAATGATCTCAAATTTGCTTATTGACTTTTTAGTATTGATATACATCCAAGACAGAAGAAAATCTTCTGTACGGTCTATAATTCTCCTTAATACGTTCAGGAAAAATAGAACAGTTTTTAAGAAACCATCCACACAAAATCCCGTCAGTGTAGATAGTCGGGATAGAAAATTAATCCCCAACCCTGCCTCAAAGTGATTAAATAAAAACATAGTTCCCATATTATTGCGTAGTTTGGAAATGGGGCACACATACAACCTGCAAAACACATTATGCTGCAACACACTTTACCTACATGCAGAACTCTGGAACAGTGTCCTAGGGCCTTGCAAAAATGTTTTTGTTCTTAATGGGGCACAATTTTTATTTTAGTTTATCTGTGAACCACAAAATGAGACCTTTTTTGGTCGTTCTATTACATTTTGTTGCATCACCTCATAGCGTGGGTTACCAAAAATAGTGGAAGTTGAGTTCCATTGTAAAGTTATTTTCATTTTTTAAAATTCTATGTTTTGAAGATTCAATGTTTTATGAAAAATCTTTTGGACACTTCTATTACATTTTTGAGGGTTCTGCTCATCTGGGTCAAGTTCACACAAGATGTGTGCTCTTAAGCTGTAAGTGCTAGCGTACTTGTTGTAATAGTCGGCAAATGGTTAGATACCATGTGCGATCTCCACTTCAGGTCTATACATTTCACCCCACAGGGAGGCCACCTCACTATCTGCCACCATAAGATTAATAAGATTTCCATCATAAATAAAACTCTTAAATCCCTACTAATTAAACAAAATATTGGTAACCATATAAAGGTAGGTGTGAGTGTGTTTTTTTGTTATTTTTATTCTTGCTTTAGAAGTGGGTAATGAATGTAATCAATGTTCTTAATTTCTTCGGGACAATGTGAAGATGGTCATGGATTTTGGACCTAAGGACAAAATCAAAAGCGTGTATATAATCAATGTATTTGATTAAGTAGTTCTTTCCCTTTGTGTCTTTCAGCGCCGGGATTTATTATTATTATTATTATTATTATTATTATTATTATTATTATTATTATTATTATTTATTATTTATTATTATTTTTTAATTTCTTCAATGTTGACTTCTGCTAGAATGTTGTATGAACCTATTGCCTTATTGACATAAATATTGTTAATAAAGTGATTAACCTGGTACCACAGATAAAACAGGAGTCAAGGGATAGCATTTTGCCTCGTATTTTAAACAAAAAGCACTTACCCCCCCCCCCCCGAATACAGAAATATAATTCATTTTTCCACACAATAGAAATAACTGATAGCGGTTAATTTGAATTACAACTTGTAAAAACATTTTTTACTTCTTACACAGTATAGAGAAAGTATTGTAATGCTGGGGGAAAACTGCGCTTTCCTCAAAAATGATTTTAAATTTGACTTGAATTTTACTTTTCCGTATACATATGTATATTAAGTATACAGAAAGCCCTTAAACAACGCGTGAGATTTTTTTCCATACTGAACAAACCCCCTGTCGATCTGGCCTGAGTCGAAGCTCTGCAATTTTGAAAATATTAATTTTGGGGGACATTTTACATGAAGCCCCCCCCCGGACACTTTCAAAGTTTTCTCAAAAACAAGTTTGTTTTTTAAATTTCTTGTAAGATAGAGTAAAACACACTTTTGAGTAGCGATAGGTCCGATTTTCAGGGTTAATTTTGAAATTTCTCGAGCGACTTCCAACAAGAACAAAATTGAAGTGAGATTTTTCCTTGATATAAAATTTGTTCTCCATAGCTTGTTCTTTATTTAAGGTCCTGTACATTTTTAATTGTAGTTTTAGCGCAATATTTCGTGCACTATGTGCAATTTTAAAATTGACAAAAACAAGATTATATCAAAAACGGCTCCAAATTTTGTCTTTAAACTTTTGGGACAGATAGTGCTAATTGCACTCTTTGAAGTGACAGAGGATTCATTTTACTATGTTCCTTTTTTTTATTAAAAATTACACAAATGTAATTTTGTTTAAAGATCTCTCACAACATTAATATTCACATTTCGAGAATTTTGTAAACACTATTGTTTTTATGAGTTAATGTGCTTCAATGTGCAATATATCCTTTCTACTATTGGAAAATGGAAAGATTAAGAAAAGTTTAAAGATATACTTTGGGTGGCGATAGATGGCGGCTGGCAAGAGGACGTGGTTAGTCCGAATAGGTAGCCGAGACCAAAGGAAATATCAAACTAATACGGAAAAGTCTGAGCCATTCTGGGGAACTACTAGTTTTCCTCTGATAGAGCAAAAGACATATAAATGGGGTAGGTCGCCTTTTTGGGGGCATTCCCTAAATTTTCGAAAATTTCCCCTGATCCCGAAAGTTTTTTTTTCTTCAAAACGTCCAACTGTCCGTCTATCTAGTATGTGGGAACTCACTATCGCCAAAACCACGTGCTGATTTTTTTCCAAATTAAAGGAACCCCATCTGGTCTGAGTCGGAGCTCTGTCATTTTGAAAAACATTAATTTTTAATAGTAATAATTAATATTTTTACTGTTCATTAATGTTCTTAAAATATTTCCGTCTTAGTATAAGGATAATAGTAGTAGTAGTAATAATAATAATAATAATATTATTATTATTATTATTATTAATAATAATAATAATAATAATAATAATAATAATAATAATAATAATAATAATAATAATAATAATAATAATAAATTGTCACATAAATACAGTATACGCCATTTATGACAAGTTAGGTTATGTATATAATCATACAATGCACAAGACTTATTTCTGAAATTTAAATGCAAGACATAAATTAAAATTCAATTCTCGTACTAAATACAATGTAATGGAATGCTAATTAATTTTATAGATGGTAGAATAAGAAGACTAAAATTAAAAAACAAGAATAATAAAAAAAGAAGGAAAGGAAAAAGGAGAGGTCTTCCCTAGATTCTTGCCTGGCCCGGGTCCGTGCTTTACATCCGACAGTCAGTTTATGGGGCTTTCGAAACATTCAACAGAAAATGCAAAAATTATTAGTACTAGTTTATATTGATGTAGATATGTGTTTATGATGAATATATTCTTTTGAACAGTAGGATGTATGGTTTAACAGGAAAGCTTTCAGTTAATTTTTGAATGTGTGTATTGAGTTTAAGCTTTTAAATTCGCTAGGGAGTTTGTTATATAGTGTAATGCTTTCTATAAGGGAACTTTTTTGAAAGAGTGAAGTTTCACTGTTCGGGACATGCAGATTTCTTTTTTGTCTAGTATCATAGCTATGAACTTCTGTGTTTAGAATAATGGAATTAGTGGTGTTTTTTAGTTGGTGTTATTTGGTATGTGGTATGATTTGTAGTTATTGTTTTTTATTTTCAGAAGTGTTTGTGGGAAAACAGTGTTGAAATAACTTTGGAATAGGTTTATGAATAAGTTTAGATCTAGATTTAGATTTATTCAAAAAACCTAAAAACTGTATGTGACGTAGGGGGGAAAAGATTATCTGCGCATGTTTTTTTGAGTTCCAGAATCTCTTCCTGTCATTTTAACTATAAATAATTAAAGGTGAGTAAAAGTTGAACATAAATAAATAAATTTTAAGTCATAAGATTAGCAATATTTGAAAAATAGTGAATAGCAAGTTGCCCTTACCTCTACTCTTACCCCTTTTGCTTAAAAGCAAAAGGAGAGTTCAACATAACGTGTGCATAGTGAAGCTACATTTACGTCCAGAAGCAAAACAAGTGGCCATCTCGGCATTTGCTCAATGGATCAGGGAAACTGGACACAAACCTGATCGAGATGGGTGTCATTGACCCAGAAGCTAAAGTACATTATTTGTTACAAATATATTAAGTCTTAAAAAAAAAAATTATACAATACAAATTAAACTAATTCATTATATATCACTCTTTTGTTAAAATAAACATTATTTTTCTTTTTGATAATTGGTATAGTCTCTAATTGTATAGAAACAGTTATGCATCAGAAAAGATTTTACTTTTAACTTAAATTTGTGGACCGACTTAAATTGTTTAATGTCATCTGGTAGTGCGTTGTAAAGTAACGTATATGTATTGTATGTGGATTTCTGGTAGTGAGCGTTGATACTGACTCTTTATGAACGTGATTTTTACAACGTGTGTTTTAATTATAATTGTCAGTATTGTATGAAAATATGTTTGCACAATTAAGTTAGTCACTTTTGACAAATATTAAGGATTCGTAAATATATAGGCAAGGCAGTGGTAAGATTCCAAGCTCAAGGAAGACAGGCTTGCAAGGGTAATGCGGATATCATTTTTTCATTCTTCGAATAATTTTTTTTTTCAATCTAAAGATCTGAGTACTACATGATGAGTTTCCCCAGAATTTTATACCATATCTCAGGCGGGCATGTATATTTGCAAAATATGCGCAACGAACTGCATGAAGACTGACAAAATTTGATAGAATTCTGAATGCGTAACATAATGAACTTAATTTTGTTATT